CCGCCATACACAGACTTGCGTGTTTCTGTCGTGAATCAAATCGATTTTCGTCTTTCTATACGTATAAAACAGATTTGTTCCAAATCACACATTCTACTTCAACGGAAGTTATTTTTGCGCATGTGCAGATACTATACATAACAAAATAATCAAGATAGTAATCAAGATTACAGGTCAATGCACAACACGAAAATAAACATATGTCAAAGGACAGGGTGTGTATCTGTGTTTATCTTTTCTTTCTGCTCATTGTCACCACAGAATGCATCTAATAGAATATGATTCTGTGCGAAATTGTAATTGCATACAAGCTGGCTTATATTAACGAGCGTAGAAATATATAAGATAAGGCACGAAACTAGTATAAGGCAATTATTACACTTGACATGAAAAACAGTTTTTAGTCACTGCCAAAAAAAGTGTGGGACTATTTTGTGTCCACTTATGTCGCCACTGCACTCCCTGTTGACGAATTGATTAAACCTGTGAAATTTGTACACCGCCAAATATGTTACCCGAAAATATAAAACATTTTTCAAAAACAATTTTCCCATCAATAAACTTATGTATTTTACATATTTATGTTATCTATGATTATATTCATGATATCTCTCCAAATTCACAAATAAATCAAAGTTGGTGATCAATGGATGAATACGTTGGCATAATAACATATAGGTACTGTTATTGACGGGCATAATTATATCGGTTATGTTGAATCACGTCCAAAACATGTTATATCTGGGACACACGGCAAATAAAAATTCTAAAATTTAATAGCAAGAATAGCATTTGAAAAACAAATCAGAAACTTAAAAATAAGAGCAAGATTAGCTTGTTATGTGTGGTCAACAGTTATACGGCGCAGTTACTAGGATCTTAACAACGGCTATCGTAAAGAAAATCGAAGCATTAAAACGTGGGTTTATAAAAAAAAATGTTAAAAATCATACACTAAAGACAATAGCAACCCATATAACACGTAGTACCACATAATATCAGTCCATATAACCACACAGTGCCGCGTTATATCAAGCCATATGACCACGCATTATATCAGCCCATATAACCACACAGTATGTACCGCATTATATAAGCCCATATAACCACACAGTACCGCGTTATATCAGCCTATATAACCACGCATTATATCAGCCCATATAACCACGCATTATATCAACCCATATAACCACGCATTATATCAACCCATATAACCACGCATTATATCCACCCATATAACCACGCATTATATCAGCCCATATAACCACGCATTATATCAACCCATATAACCACGCATTATATCAACCCATATAACCACGCATTATATCAACCATTATAACCACGCATTATATCAACCCATATAACCACGCATTATATCAACCCATATAACCACACAATACCGCGTTAAATCAACCCA